GAGAAGGCGCGGGCGAAGCTCCTCTACTCTCAGTTCTGGGCTTGGTTTTCTGCTCCATCCTACGCGCTGAAGGCGGAATTCAGTAAGACCACACCCTGTAAGGTTACACTGGTCAGAGCTGTGGGCAGACACTGACGGGATGAAATCCGAATTCCGGTCTCTGTCCCCCGTCGAGGGTTTGTTAAGATATTTGCTCTCCTTTTGTCTCAGCCTTCCTCGTGCTCTCCAGGCTCCTACGAATTTTATGTGCAAATATCCTGACTCTCTGGGAAGTTCAGGGAAAGCCCAGAGCTCACACAGACCCTGAGAGAGAGCAGTGGCCTTAGTGGTCTTCTCAGAGCTTTAAGGCATCAAAGGCTGACCCCCTGGCATCGATCAAAACATCTCACGGTTCCAGAGAGATTAAGAACTAAGGAAAGGGGTAAAGTGTGAGGAAAGCGCCTTTTCAAGCATATACAGAGAGACACACCTATCGAGAGAGAGGTCTAGTAAGTCGGCAGAGACTCACGGAGCGTCATCCCCTGTCCGGGCACTGGGCCTCCGCCCGTGCTCCAGGCACAGCCCTTGTCCAAGAATCCGCCTAAATCCTACATCTTTGTCTTCCGAAACGACTGATCCCCTAATCCCTATTTTTTGGATTATTTATCTTTCTTTTTAAAAATATATCTAGGAAACAATTTTGTCATCAGGCACATTGAAAAACACGCTGTGTCAGGACGTGTGTCAAACCATAGACACTCTCGCACGTTCTCTCACTATCCAGGGCAGCTGGCCTGGTGCTGGCCTGCGGACAGAGCTGCGGACCTACAGGGAGACAGGAATCCTGCTCTGCGGGCGGCCTGGGCAGGCCAGCGCTGCACCCCAGCAGGGTCATCAAGCTCAGGGGATACTAGGGGCTTGGAGAGAGTCCAGAGAGTTGCCATCAAACGAAATCAGCGTTTGAGACATAATCCTAAAGAGGCAGGTTGGAAGGAGCTGGGCTTGTTCACCTAGATACCAGCTTGTAAGTACTGAGAGGGGACCAGCCTGGGCGAGGCCTGTCCTGGGGGTGCGGAGGCTGCTCTCATGGCACTCAGGGCACATGCAGTAGGAGGGTAACTGCTTCAGAGGCGATTTTTAGACTTCTAAAGAGATTGGGGCCTGTCTGACTTCAAAATGTATGTCCAAAGGAAACTACAGAGGGCCCTTTCCAACCCCTCCCCCAACTTAAGGACAAGCAGAGGTAACCCAGTGAGGAAAGAGAAGCCTGGGGGCAGGCGGAGGGGTCTCAGTTCAACCCTAGGTCGCCTTCGGTTCTGTGAATCCTTCATTGGACATGGGAGTTGTGCTTTTAAAAATGTGAAACATGTAGTGTTCATGTTTGTGTGTGTGTGATCATGAGCAAGTGTGCATGTGTATGTGTATGTGAGAGCTGTGTGTAGGAGTGTGTGTAAGTGTATTTGAGAGAGAGAGTGTGTGTGTATGTGTGTGTAGTGGATCTCATCTCCTTCCTTCCCAGAAAAACCAATGCAAACAATCCTTGGAAACATTTCTCCCAGGAGAGCTGGCGCTTCTGTTTAGACACAGGCCCTGGCTGCTCCATTTCTGACGGAAAGCAGGGCTGTCACAAGTTCAAGTGCGTTAGGGGCCAGCCCTTCACCTGCAGCGGTGAGACCACAGGGGGCGCCACCCCCAATGGGACAGGGTCCCCGCAGAGGCAGGCTCTTCTCAGCCAGGGACAGAGGAATCACATGGCCATCACCTGCTGTCCGTAAAGTGCTCACAACGCTTTCTTTACCACAGAAAAGAAGAGACAGTGACTCGCTCCAAGTCCAGCACATAACTTCTGTACAGTGTGTTTCTATAACCAAGAAAAGCAAACACCTCCCTTGCATCAGGCACAGAAATTCAGTCTAATTTCCAAAGCTCTGCATTATGACAAATGCCCAGATAGGTGGCTGCACTGTAATAAAATTCCAAGGAAACGCCGCTTTCCCCTAATTGCCCGTCTCCTCTGTTTCTTCAGGAGCGAATGAACTGAGAGAAGCATCTGTTTTCCATCTCTCTGGATTTCGGGAGTGTTGTGGGTTGTGGAGCCATCTCTAATTGCTTTAGAACTTGTACTTCTTTCCCGAACGTCTCATTTGCTCTCACAGATTATGAAGTTCTAGTCAGATGGGATTATAGATTTCTACAAATCTTGTGCCCGCTGCAATGACCGGAAGCCAGAACAGATCGCAAAGCCAAGCACAGGTTACCTCCACCTTTGCTTACACACCACGGGTGAAGTCGGGCACTGTGAAGCCCAGACCCCTCTGTGGGTCAGTCAGTAACGACTGTCTAGATTCTTTGGGAAGGACAGTGATTATTGGCCTAGGCTCCTGGGGGTGAGCGTCAGTCTCCTTTGGCCACCTGCGCACCTCTGCAGGAGCCGTGCCGGGTACTTCTGCTTATCCCCCCGAAACACCCCTTAGCAAGCTGCAACCGTGACACGAAATGATAAGTGAAGCACTTGCACTGAAAAGAGATAAGAGGTGAACGGTCTGAAAGAAGACACAGTCCCTTCTCTGTGATGAGCTGCAGTGTGGCGGAGGCCGCTCGGCCTCCCTAAAGCCAGATCTCTGAGTAAACCAGCACCAGTGGAATTATCTTAGGGGTCAGGGATTGCTCTTGTTTTCAACAGATCATAGAGCTTTCTGATGATTTACCAGTAAGAAGTCCATTAATCTGCTAATAAGCATCCTGAGTTTTAATAACTCCTGGGAATCCTGGCTTTGGGGAACTGTTTAGAAAGTGACGAGGGTGGGTGCCTGCCTGTTTGGTTACACTGGGCGGTCCTTACTCCCGCTGGTGCAGGAAAATGCACTGGTAGATTCAACGGGTTTAAATGTCCTTCACCATTGCCCTGGGTTACTGAGCAAAGGGCGGTGCCATCCCGGGAGTAACTTAAAGAGGCTTCTGGGGTAGGAGCGGGGATTAGGTTCTTCTGAGCCACGCTGACCCCTTTGCTCCAGGATACAGGGCCAGGCGAGTGGAACAACCCTCGCAAGGCAGGGAGGAGAGGCGCAGAGGTCGGGCTTCTCCGCCCGAGCCTGGCGCCCGCCTACAGCGGCCTGGGCCCAGGGTTTCTGCTGCTCGGAGGGGGAAGGAGCAGCCTCCTGCAGCCTGAGTTTCCCATGTCGCTGTGATTTGAAGAGTGAAGACCATCCCGTCAGGCAAGGGAAGGGTTGACAATGTGAGGGCACAAAGACTATCTTTTTTCTTTTCCTGAAGTTTAGCCCAGGAGCCTGCTTCCACTGAGATGATGAAACGATTAAGAGGGGAGAGAACACACGCAGGAAGCCTCTCGAGGAGACCCAGGGCCATACGAGGTGCAGGCACCTGGGAAAGGGCTTGTGTAACGCAATCCTCTGCCAGTTAGTAAAAACTCTGTCCTTTCTATATTCAGTGTTGAAACATTAAAAACTGGTGAATGTGATATTTTGGGAATAGTTTTAGTCAACTAAGATGGCAGTTTATCCTAGTGGGGTTAATTGTATTATTTGTTTAGTAATTCGTTGTCTTATTGTTTCTACGTTTTTTATACCCAAAAAGTGTTTGAGCTGAAGCATTTAGTTATGAAGGCATTTAACATTTTAAATTAAGACACGAGGAATTCTAGATGGCGCTTGAGATGCCCCTGAGAGGAGCCTCTCATCTCTGTGTTTGTAGGTACCTCATATATTCGTAAACCAAACCCTGTGCGTGTTTAAGCCAGACCAAAATACTAAAAGGCTCCATTTCTCCCGTTAGAGAGAAAAAAAAAAAAGCAAATGTTTTGCTTAGTTATGTTTTCAAAAGAGCTTGACATTGTAAATAATTGATGAATATGTAACTTGTTCATCATTAATGGACAATTCCCATGGAGGTATCCTCCCTGGTTATATAATTTGCTATCTCAGAAGGGTTTCACAAACGCCAAGGTTAAAGCTGGAGAGCAGAGAGACACCACTTCAGGATGACAACATCCTCTTTGGCACAAATAACAATTAAGGCTCAAAAAATTAAGTCCAGGCACTGAATTCCCTTGGGGTGAGTTACAGATAGAACAGGCAGTAACGTTTCCCCGTAATAAATTCCCGGTACACAGCCACGCACCCAAATGAACATCAGGGCAACATGTTGTACTGCGAAGAACTAAATGGTACTTTAGCTTGTATCTTTATTCTCTGTCTCTTTTCTTCAGGTGATAACTGAAATGTCACCTACCATGCACGAACACTTACATCCCCTTTCTGAGAACATTTCTGATATTACTGGTATAAGAGAAGGATGCCATGTATTTAAAGACTGCCTTATTAATCGATAGGTTTTGGTAAATATCTAGATTATCTGGTCGGTCAACTTGTCTTTATGGCCTCAGAAAGACGACTAGCTGCCATGTTCCATCCAAATCAGTTGGTAAATGAGTATTCATAAGGACATCAATATTCACAGTGTCATACAATCATGCTCCAAGCTAAATAAAAATAAAAGTAAAGTGGCCCCAAATATTACAGTGTAACAGGACAAGAGCCCAAAGGTATGTACAAATTCATTGACAACATCTGTGTGTCACAGACAAAACATTTAAAAGGAAATCTACATAAAACAAAAGTAGATAAATTTATCAAATGTTGATAAATTTTTCAGAGACAGTAGAGAAGTACACAACACATGGAAGAGAGAAAGAATTTTTAAAAACAACCGCCAAGCCAATACACAGAGTACAGGTTTAACTACGTTCATATTACAGAATGATGGAAACCGGAGACACAAAAGGTTCGGTAACAGCAGAGAGAGTCTCCCCCAGCGCAGGGAAGAGGGACGCCCGTTTCTGGGTGAGAACACGGACTGGCCCCTCCTGCCCCGGACCCGTACACACAGAGAAAGACAAGCAATGCTGACATCAGGGCGTCTACAGCGACACAGGACAGACAGGTGGGAGCGTTTGGCATGTCGCAGCGCGGGAGTCAATCGCGACTGGCTAACGGTGAGGGTACCTGGCTCTGTTGCAGGTCACTGGCTTGCCTGAGCGGAGGGACGGCCGGGGGGGGCACCCCCGACGTGGACGCCGACCGGCCCAGCTTGCAGCTCACCTTCGGCTCTGCGGGCGAGGGAGACAGAGAGCGGTTAGTGGGGCGCAGGGCCCGCGATGGCGCGCCTGCGGCCTCCGGGGCTCGCCGGCAGGGGACGTGAGAACAGGTCCCCGCAGCTGACTCTAAAGCAGGGGCTCTCTTTGAAGACGAGCTCCTGGGAATGGAGGGCAGTCACGCGAGCCCGAGGCCCCTTCCCGCGCACCTTCTGCCCAGTCACAGCAGCTTCCATAGCGATCACTCGCGAAGACACCCCACTAAGGGAAAAAGCGGCCGCCGAGACCACGTTTGGTGCTCTGATTTCAGCTTTGGTCCACAGGGCTCCCAGCACCTAAAATGCCTTTTGCGCCCTCCCCAGATTTTCCTTCCCTCCTACTTTTCTGCCCCCTTTCTTTCCTTGTCTCTCTAATTTTGAAGCCTATACATAGCATTGTGCCCGTGTTGGCTACTTTCATCATGTTTTCAGTGTAACCTTTCTCTCTTATCTCAATTTGTTTTAAATTTTATAACCGTCTTCTAAGATTTTTGCACTCTTTCATAGTAATAGCATTTTTTCAAAATTAAAAGCATTGCCCTCACTCTTCCCTTCCTGAAGGAGCCCAGTGACCTGTCCAGGCCACTGACGGGATAGTTTGAAGATTACGACTCAGGGATGGAAAGAGTTCTCTTTATCCAAGAAACACAGAATTTATAGTAGATAGAGAACGTTGAGTTTCAGATATACCAGGAGATACTTGATGAAGGAGAGGAAAAGGGCATAAAAGGAAAAAACCGACATCTCTGCTTTCATTACAAACTTTTGTATGAACTGTTAGTTTGGAGGGCCTGGTATAGTCCGGCTTCTGTTTGAACTACACTTAAATTATCTTTAAGCCCAAAGACACTCTTTGGAATTACGGAGTTAGCTATAAATGCTCCCAATTTACAAATCAGAAACCTGAGTGCTTTCTCTGGAGGTCAGTGGACATATAACTCTCGTTAAGGTGGGGATGAGACTACTGTGGGGAGACCAGACAGACAGGAGGCTGTTGCCTTGTGGTCCTGGAGAGGGCTAGGCCTGAATCCCTCACTGGGCAGGTCACCAACTCACTTTTCAACCCACAAACTTTCCCTGAGTCCCTCGGGGAAGCAGGACCCGGAGTCAGCAGGAGGGATGAGTGCAGGAGCAGTTGTGACAGGGAGGCAGAAACTTCAAGCTCTAGCTTTTTTTATTTTGCTTTTTTTTTTTACTTTATCTTTATTGTTGCAAGTGTTACAGATGTCCCCCTCCCCTGATTGGCCCTCCATCCTGCACCCGCCCACCCCTCCCAGGCCTTCTCTATTCTATTGTCTGTGTGCAGGGGTCCTGCATACATGCAGATAAGCTCTTTGATGAATCTCCCCCCTCCCCACCCCGCCTTCCGTCTGAAGTCCATCCGGCTGCTCCATGCTTCTGTCTCTCTGGATCTGTTTTGTTCATCAGTTTGTTTTGTTCATTAGATTCCACATATGAGTGAGATCATGCAATACCTGTCTTTCTCTGACTGGCTTATTTCACTTAGCGTAACGAGAATCATCATTTGGGAGCCCACTGCTTTAGGGAAGACAATCGACAGTATTTGTTGACAATGATACGTTTGAGCTTTCAAGCAAAAATTAAAAAATTTTGTAAAACTTGCACTCGCTGTTGTGAGCTTGACAGCATCCCAACGCTTAAAAGACTTCTCTTAGGAGGTCAGTGGTGATATTAATGAGTGCACTGTATTGATTTTCATAGCAGAATGTGTCAACATATGGAAGGTTCGCATGACTTAGTGAACCAATGTTTTCTAAAAGCATGAAGCTGTGAATCATGTATGGCTGAAGAGCCACTACAAGTTCAAGACAGACCAATGGATTTGAATGTAACAGAGAATGTTGAGTTTATCCAGAGGTAACTTTTATGAAACTGCTATCTGTTGACTTTTAGAAGAGACTGAAGAAGAATACCTATAATTATATGATCACGCTATTAGAATATTCCTTCCTTTCAACTACATATACGTGTGAGGCCAGATTTCCTTCATATATTTAAACTAAAGCAAAATATCGCAACAGATTGAATCCAAAGCAGGTATGAGAATCTGTGTTCTATTGAGTCAGACATTAGATGTGCAAAAATACAAAACAATGTCAATCTGCTCACCGTTGTTTATAGTTTTGGAAAATATAGGGTTCTTTTAATGAAAGATGTTATTTATGTCAATATATGATGTTTTCTTTTTAATGAATATATTTTTAATTCTCAATTTTAATTCTTATTATGATGTTATTATTCTTAATCCACATAAATGAAATATTTTGGCGGTTCTCAGTAATTTTTAAGAACATAAGGGGCCCTAAGACTGAAGACTTTGAGAACTGTTGATTTATATAGACTCTAAGTTCCCAATAGTTCTCTTAGAAAGGAATGTTTTATACAGTTAATTTGCCAGTGGAGTAGTTAAAAAATGGAAACAGGAAAATACCATGTTGAAAACTCCAAGTAATGTAGGAACCACCAGTCCAAGTCAGCCAATGAGAAGTGCCTTCATCCGTTTTCGGGAGCTTTTCATTAGTGCTGCTAAACTCTCACAGCTCACCAGGCATCCTGTCCTTCCCTGTACTAAACTGTGTGTTCTCCGAGGACAGGAGTCCTGTATATCTCCTTCCTTTCTGTATTTCCCCTGAGTGACATGATAACTGATACCCAAGGACTAAAAGTATTGATTGAATGAATTATTTTAAACCTTCCCTCTTTTCTTCACCTTTCCCAAGTTTCCAATAAAAAGGCAAAAATGCATCGACCAGCCTTCAATTGAATTTAACATTAAAAATTTTTTTTTTTTAAATCAGAGAGGAAATCGCAGTGCCTGTGGTGGACAGTAGATGGCAGTGCAAATATTACTGGATATTTACAAAGCTTCCAGAACTAGTCTCTGTAAAAGCCCAGCGTAAGCCAGACGGAAGCTTCTTTTTTTGTAACATCTTCGAAGGCTTTTCACAGGAACAAAAAGGGGATTCTTTGTGAAGACAGTGAGCTGGCAAACTCTCAGGCCTTTCCAAAGGAAACCAACTACTGCCAACTGGGAGCAGTGTCAGGGCGAACTCCTGCGGGAGGGCGCAGGGTGGGGCCAGGTCCCCGTGAGACGCAGGAGTTGGCAGGGCAGTCGGAACTCTCTCCGGCGTGTTGGCATTGTGTTTTCAAACAGGGCTGATTTATTAGCCAAGTAAGGTGAAGGCACCTTCGGAATTATCTAAATTTGTATGCCTGGTTCATTACTTTTCCCCAGTAGAATTAGAGAACAGCTGGGAATTCAGGATTTTTCTAATATGAATGAAATTACTATCAGGTTGTATTTTTTGCAGTAGCGTTCAGGGTATTTGAATACGATACAATGTCATGGTCTAGGCATATGTTTACTAGCAATCAAATTTAAGAGAATATATATATGTGTGTGTGTGTATATGTATATAAATATATACACTGACATATATTTTATACATAGTATATAATAGTAAGTTAGCTGACTTTGCAAATAAAACCTTAACTTAAAATCCATAAGTAGCTTCGTGTGTGTGTGTGTGTGTGCGTATGTGTATATATATATATATATATACACCTAAACACACACACACACATCAGTTAATATCACCAAATTCCCTGATTCCAGACATCTCCCCTAACTTTAACCAGCCATCTTGTAGAACAAAAAGGGGAATAAAATATACATGATTTAGAGAAAAGCCTACAAACTACTGGTCCACCAAGTCCAATCCTGTCTCCCTGAACAGGAGCGGCAGTGAGCTCTAGAGGTGAGATCAGGTGCCACCACGGGCAGGCAGACAGACGCCCCTGGAGGGCAGAGGTCATCTGTCACCCCTCAGAGTGAGCTGTTCAATCAGGTGTCCTCACAGCTTTGCTGAATGAGTAACTAACTGAACCAAAGAACAAGCATCTACAATGTTATGTTTTAGGAAAAAACGAACAACCAACCACACGTGTAACATGCTTGCTCAGGTGCTTGAGAATTAATTTTTAGATCTTTTAGATAGTCGGTTGTAAACATCTCTCAGTTATAGGAACAGAGGCATTTCATGGCTCGAGAATGGAGAAAACATTTCTTTGGTATATGGGGCAGGCTATTTGGGGCAGGATGCTATCTTCGTAATTCTGTTTCCCTGGGTTTAGGATGGTATTATATCAACTGACTTTGTAAATCTGATCCCTGAGTTTAAATTCCCAGGAGTTCAAAATCCATAAATGGCTTCCTGTCATTTTTAGGTAAGGCCAGAGTCACTAATTTGGCCAGCTCAGCCTGTCCCTTGTCAGGCTCGCAGCCCTCTCCCTGGCCACAGTCCCTTGGCCTCTGCCCTCCCTTGAGACACTCCCCAAGGCGTACTGGCCTCACAGGGCATTGCACCCCCTGGGTCCACTCCCTTTATTGTTATTTCTCTAATTCACCTAAGATCTCAGTTCCCATGTCATCAGGATGCCTTATAACATGCTCAAGAGGGAGTGCGGTGTCATTTTCCCTGGTGGCTTTTGTCACAAATTAAAATCACATTTTCACTTTTGTGATTAATAGCAACCTCCCCCACTGGCACAGGAACAATGCTGGATAACTTTATAATGAAGGGGTAAAAAAGGCGAATAAATGAATAAATGACTGAATTTGTGAGCATGGAGGTAGAAACAGGGAAACCCCACCTGTTAAAGTACAGGAAGAGGGCTGTACTATGGGCCAGGAACCTCGAATCCATTTCTCGATCTGTCTACTACTCACCAATGAGTCTGGGCAATTTACTGGATTCCTCTAGACTTTCATTGTAGTGACCTAAATAATTAGTTCATTACACCAGACCACAGACATACAGGTTTTGGGGAAGATAAAGTGAGATAGCACTTATAAAAGTATTTTAAAAGTGAACACATGTTATATAAATATAAGACTTATTTTAAATGGGTCATAGATGATCCACAAAGATAAAAAAGTTAAATTCTATAATTCAG